GTTGTTCATTCTGGGAGGGGAACAGGGCCCCTTGTCTGTGTTATTTCTACACCCTTGGCCATCTCCTGACTGTGCATTCCATGCCAGCCAGCAGCAGATTGATTAGCCCCAACATTGATTTCCAGAGGGCAACATGCAACCATCAAAGGCAAAACTTCAAGTTTGTGATTAGTCTGTAAATAATGGACACACTATAGCTGATGACGAACAGTGTCTCTGCCTTATTTATGAGATAGATTCATCCAGTCTCTTTGGGTGGCTCTTAAGAGACAGGAAGCAGAAGTTCCATCTTATTCTGATGTCTTGTTGGGCACAACCAATGCATCTCCCTCTCCCGTGAGATCTCCATCAAGTGTGTTTAAATGTGATTTTTCAGCATGAAGGAATGAGGATGGAGAGCAAGCTGTTTTTAAAAATAACACAGAGGGGAGGGGAAATGATCCTACCCGGCACTTTGCCAATTTAATGATATTTACTTGGCTGAGAGATGAACGAGATGGATGAGAATTTGTGGCTCTGGGCAGGGCGAAAAATCTAAGTATCAGAATGGAGAGTGAATCAAACACCTTTCTTGCTTCCATGGCCAGATGGGTTCATCAGTTAGCCACTGCCCCCAACAGGGCTTATAAGTTACCCCCTGGCTGAGAGACAGCATGTCAGGCAGAGCATGCTACGTCTTCTCCAGAGAGATTGATAGCCCACCATAAATGGAAATAGTTCTGCTTAAACAAAACCACGATGTCAACATGAAGTTTCTGTCGGGATTCAAGCCCTTCTTATGAGAAGCTGGCAGCAGTCCCAGGCACCCGGCTTGAGTTCCCTGTTGACCTCCCTGGCTGCATTCCCCAGCAGACGCAGGCAAGGTCTCGATCGGCGATTCTTCTCAAACGTGAGAAGAACACACCCCTCTTTCCTGCCTCCCCAGGCAGGGGAAAGAGATAGACAGAAACGTATTTACATGCTTTTATTTCTGTCTTTGCAGCGTTACAGAAAACATGACTGCACTCATCAAATTCCAGCAGTCGACTCACAAACTCCTCCTGTACTTCCTGTACAGCTCATATTACACTCTGAGGTAATTCCGGTGCTGTTCCCACAGCAGTCCCAACATTCCCATCATGTTTACACTTCAGGCTAGGACTTTGCAGCTGCATTGCTTCATTATCGTAACAGTTTCATGCCAGCACTAAATTCTGTGTTTTCTTAAAATGCTGCCAGGGCTAGGCCATGGACACAGTCTTAAGGGGAGCAAGGATTCAGAAACTATGGGATGAGCCAGGAGTCAGGACCAAAGAGTGCCATGTGTATACCTGACCTGGTAACACACACATCCATGGATGAACCAGACACCTCACAGGTTGAGCACTTCAGCAGCAGGCAGGGTGCCCTGAAACCAATGCTGAGGATCCTTTTGAGGGGTCCTCTGGGTTAGGACCATCCAGAGAACCCCTGGCGCTGTCAGAGAAGGTGGATACTGCATGCACAGGCTATTGTTAAGCTCTTGGAAGTGCATATAAGTTTACATCTTAAGCTCCTGCACTCAATACTGCTGTCCTTTCTTAGGTGAAGGTATGAGTAGGGATAGCCAACTTGGATGACTTTAAAAGAGGATTAGCTAAATTAATGGAGGAGCAAGCTATCAGTGGCTACTCCTGCGGATGGCCAAGCTCTATCTTAGTTATAGGCAGTATGCTTCTGAAAGCCAGTTGCGGGATACTGCAGCGGGGGAGAGAGACTTCTGTTGCACACAGATCCTGGTTGGCCACTGAGAGGACAGGATACTGGACTAGATGGGCCTTTGGCCTGATCCAGCAGGCTCTTCTTGCATTCTTAACAGTGGCTGCTCCGCTATATCTGTATAGAAATATGGCAGGGAGATGTTCTAAACATTTTTTAAAATCTGTTGCTTGGTTATCTATTTGATGCTTGCATTTATTGTTGATGGATTGGACTGTACACATTATCTGCTGTAGTTATATGAGTTGGCTGTGATGTAGATACGAAATGTTCTAAGATTTAGTTTTTGTTTTGCTTTTTAAAAAAATTGTAAACCATTTTGGGCTCCCTCTTGGGAGGAAGAGGGGGGGGTCTAAATTGGACAAATCAATCAATCAATCAATCAATCAATCAATCAATAACAAACCCTCATAATTAGCCAGAGTGGGTGGTGTTAGTCCAGGGAAGAAGGTACTTTGCTGAGAAGGCTTCCACCTGCAGTTAAGGGGTTTGCCACACAGGACAGCCACACACCGATACAGTAGCTCATGACATTATGTTATCAGAGAATGAAGCATGAGGGTCAGAATCGCCATCCAGGGATGCACACTTCTTTGTCAAGAGATATTAAGCATAAAAAGTGAGACTAGAAAATATCACAGTTGCAAGTACAGATGTCGAGTTGGTTGTCACATGGATGTACATCACTTAACGCCAGGTGCGTGGCATGGGGGGTACAGGGATAGTTGCCCAAGGCAGAAAATTTTTAGGGGTGCAAAGTTTCAGCACCCAGTGCTGCTTTAATACAACTGTGCACTTCCGTCATTGGGTGCCACTGAAAATTGCTTCTCTATGTGAACCAGGAAGAAACTTCTCCAGACAATGGAATGACTTCTTTTCTTTTCTTTGCAACTGTGATTTCGTGGATGCACTTAGGCAGTTGAATGTGCATGCATATTCCATACATTTCCCTTCCTCCCCTCTCCCTCTGCACAGCCCCGGGCGCTGGCAATCCACACTATGCCACTTCTTAATGCAATTGATTCTGTGCATCCAGAGATGTGAACTTCATTGAAAAGCATTGTGAGACAATTAGTGATGAGTGGATTTATCCTGTTTTCCTGATCCATGTGTTCTGTTTGCCTTGCCATGCACTGCTCCTAAGTAAGGAAGTGTCTATAATTAACTCTGGAATTGGAGCATGAGAAGTTTGCCTTTGGTTTCTGTTTCTGTAGATCATTTGGATCTCTCCCCTCCCCTCTATGTTGCTGATAGGCATTTATGCATTGATTAAGTCATGCAAAAAGGCAGGCTTGATTTGCTTGTACTTGAGATTTCATCAAGATTGCTTTTGTGCTGTGTTTTACTGATGCACCCTTGTGCTCCTGCTTGCTGGTAAAACATCATGCAAAAGTAATTGCGATGAAACCCCACATACAAATCAACCCAAGCTGCTTTGAAAGTTTCAGCCATGTGAATGTGCACTTCAGTAATGTGATGGTGGGGAGGGCATAAATAAACAGAAGGAGATGAAAACTGCAGAAAACTCCACATTTGCAACACTATGTAGAAAATTTGGAAATTAAAAAAAAGGGAAATGACGAAGTATTCCTAATGCAGCAGTTCCATTTTGGAAGCAAGATAGATAGCTTGGAATGTAAAAATCTAGGAAGAAATTCAGATGAGAAGAAATCTGGAAGCAGCCAGGGAGATAATTGCTATTATGTTCCACCCCAATCTTCAAGTATCAAGAGACTTGAATTTTAAAGTGGAATTGGACAGATTTGCGACAAATAAGACTATCAATGACTACTAGTCATGATGGCAATATGCTATTTCCAGAAATGGACACTATCTGCCTCTGAATGCTGGGGAACAGCTGTGGTAGAATCTATTGCCCTGTTTGTGGGGGCATCTGCTTGGCCACTGTGGGAAAAGAGATACTGCAATAGGTAGGCTTTTGGTCTGATCCTAAAGGGCTCCTCTTGTGTTCTTATATGCTCTATGATAGAGTTCCAGTTCACCCTTGTATTGGGCAGGCACCTTTGACACATGCTGCTCCCCTCTAGAAGAGGAGAGATTGTCTCCCCACAGGGAGGAGAATGGTACAGCCATGTGCGGGCATTTGTCCCATGCTCTACCCTGCATTCTCCTCTCTTCTCTTTGAGACACCCATCCTTTTGCAGTGTGAGCTAGTCACCCTTTTCGGTGGCCTGAGGAGGAATATTTTGGGTGACAGTAATTGCCTTGTGGGGACGTGGGTGGCGCTGTGGGTTAAACCACAGAGCCTAGGACTTGCCAATCAGAAGGTCGGCGGTTCGAAACCCCGCGACGGGGTGAGCTCCCGTTGCTCGGTCCCAGCTCCTGCCAACCTAGCAGTTCAAAAGCACGTCAAAGTGCAAGTAGATAAATAGGTACCGCTCCGGCGGGAAGGTAAACGGCATTTCCGTGCACTGCTCTGGTTCACCAGAAGCAGCTTAGTCATGCTGGCCACATGACCCGGAAGCTGTACGCCGGCTCCCTCGGCCAATAAAGCGAGATGAGTGCCGCAACCCCAGAGTCGGCCACGACTGGACCTAATGGTCAGGGGTCGCTTTACCTTTACTTTAATTGGCTTGTGTCACCTCTTTTTCACCCACTTCGCACTGCTGGGTTCTGTCTGATTGATTGGAGTGGTGTGTCCCCCCCCCATTTGTTTGATTGGTATTTTGCCTGGGTGGGTGAGTAGCTTTTGTAATACATCTGATTAATATCTGAGTCAGAGTGGGGTTTAGGCCTGGCAGACACATTGGGGTGAACATTGGCCAATGGGCCAAGGAACATGCTATGAAGGGGGGCTGGATTTTCCTTGGGAATCACTATGTGGTCATAGTAGCTGGATCAGGAGATGGGAGTTTACGATCCTTTCATTAATACACCTCACCTGCCCAGACCTCATTGCTTCTGTTAATGTGGTTCAATTATATTGATTGGCAGAGCCTATGGTTGTTATATTTTAATAAATATAACCAATTGGCCCAACTGTCTTGTCTCAAGTCTTCTTCGGTGTGCTGGCAATAAGCATTTATTCCCTTAATGCTATTTCAAATTAATTGTCGAAATGTGGTTTCTCTTATGTAATGTTGGATAACAGGCTTGACATGCATGCCACAAATTAAACTGAAGCAAATTTTCTGGATACTTTGGAATTAGTTCAAACTCCGCATTAGATGTAGATCAGGCATCATTACTACATGTCGGGGCATGAAAGCATCCATGTACAGACACATTTCTCTTTGTTTCAGACCCGTCTAGCTTCCAGACTGTCTGGGATCTCTTCCCAAATGGACCTGCCAGGACACTTTCCCAAAATCCAGTAAAAACAGAGAGAAAAAGGTTTGCATTTTTAAAAAAAGAGTTTGCATATTACCCTGTATAATTCTCATGAAAGCCACATCTTCTCCAATGAATTATATCCTCTCTCCTTTCCATTGTAGGCATTTTGGAGAAAAATAGAGCCTTTCTTCAATGGATGGGCTGGCCCTGAATGTTTGCACAATGCTGCACTTGATTGCTGATACATGTTTGCTGACTGCACAGTGGACTTCATTTTCCAGACCTGTCAATCAGGCATTTTTATAGGAGAAGTGAGGAGAACATAGAGCAATGGGGACGTAAGTTAAAGGCCTGACAGCTCTAGCAGAGAGCAGTGACTGGAGCCTTGAGCACTGAAAGACGTTGAAGCATTGTTTCTCAGAATACAATGATTCACCTAAAACACCTCCTCTCTTCCTGCAGGGGCCTGTCCTATTGATACATCTAGGGAGAGAGAGGCAGGCAAGCAGCACTCTTATACAAAATACAACATGGCACTCTGCTTTTTGTCAAACTTAGCAATCCCACTCATTGTCCTTGAGGATGTGCTTGACAGAATGAGAGTCTCCCTTTAGAAAATAGATACCCTGTAGAGTCAGAAGGAATTGTGGCATATATCGCACAGAGAGATCTGCCATTGTGGATCAGTCCAATGATCCATCTAAGCCAATATTCTGTCTAGCTCTTCGTTAGAGCCGACAAAACTTCATTAAGAGAGCTGTTAAGCACCCCAGCCTTGCTCCTGCTGCTAGCAACAGCAACAGCACCAGCACCACACCACAACACAACACAAGAGAGACATAGGAGATACAAACAAACAAATAAATGGCAGAGTTTCAAGTCAACATGATGATTCAGGGTGGGTTCCCGGGTTCTCAACCCTATTTAGGACACATTCTCATGTTTAATGGATCTTTTGAGAAATGTTTATTCATGGCAATGCATGTCACAGAGGGTGGTGACATGAAAATGGGCATTTTCACCATTGCCCCTGCATTGGGCGATGTCCTCTCTGCCACATGTGAAGCACTATTCACCATTCACTTCAGACATCTGCAAAGAGATACATTATTGCTCAGGCTTTTTCTGACCATAAGACTGGACCCCATTATTTGTGAATTCCTGTCTTTATTATACTGGTTTTTTAAAAAAATCTTATATTGTATTTCTGCATAGTGCTTAAGATATGTTTAAATATTAAGAGGCCTAAAATGATTTTAAATTAAATTAAACCAACTCTCCCACCCAGAGTCAGCGGAACTTCTAAAGTGCTGAGCATTGACTAGCTCCATTGTAATTTAGATTCAACTCTTAGGCATTTGGGAGGAAGTAAAATTAAGAACAAGTTATTAAAAGCATTTAAAAGATAATTAAAATTAATAGGAAGCCATTTTTTAAATAAAAAAATACAGTTCCCAGAATTATTTGGGGGAAGCCATTTGCATTAAATGTTCTTTAAATGTGTAGTGTGTGTGCATCCTTGTGTTGTAACAAACTAACCTGGCAACCTCTCTAGAATTCAAAATACTGGGGAAGCTTCCCTGGGCAGTTAATAAGAGTCCTGCACTGATGACCATAACAGATACTTCTCCCTGGTTTTTATGTATCTCAGCTGTTCTGGTGAAAGGTTCCAAGGGTCGAAACTCAGTGATAATTCCATTGTAAACTGAAAGGCTGAGGGATCACAAGTGATAATTCTTAATACTTGCACAGGAATTTATCCACCTCCTTGAAGCATGAGCCAAGCCTTCTGTTAATCCACCCAAATGCCGCCAGTTCAATGCAATGAGCAATTAGTTAATGTTTGTGGAGTTCTTGGCAAACATTGGGTTCTAATTGGTATTATCCGTATCTACACTGAAACATTTTGAAAGAGCCCAGTGAGGTTAAATGGGTTCATGTGAAAACAGGCTGTATTGGCAAGGTTCCATCCTTTATTTATTCATTTGCTTACAATTGTATTGATTTTTAAAATGAAAAACATAAGCAAAAGACATAACCACCACTGTATTACTTTAGAAACATCCATTAATAATAGCTGTATTGACAAAGCTGACAAAGGGAATAAAAAAATAGCCAGTCTGTGCAATTGATCGAGAAGAGACTCTGCAGAAACTGGAATTTGGGCAAGACCTCAGGTCCTGTCCTGGCCTTGGGATACTCTTGAATATGGCCTCGTTCTAACCCTGCAGCTTTGTGAACTCAAACTGAATGTAACAGGGCAACAATCCATATAAAATGAAAGGGGGTCTGTTAGTTTTTACTATCTGCATTTTAACAGATTTGTCTTTGTATTGTTTTAATTCTATTACCGTTTAACTAATTTTAAACTATTTTCTTTTACATGTTTTTAGCCTCCTGTGTTTTAACCACGTTGTTTTAATTTTTGTAAGCCACCTTAATTCCTAGTTCTAGGAGGAAAGGCAGGCTACAAATAAATATAACAACAACAACAACAACAACTTTTGATGAAAAGGAGCACTGCAGAGATTGGGAGTGAATACCGGTATCACCCCACCACATCAGTTAAATGAATATACAACATATAGCAAGAAACTGAACCTTTAGTGCCATTGGCCCAATCCTGTGGAATACTCTGCCAATAGTGATTGAGCAGGCATCTTCTGTGCTGACTTTTAAACATTTGCTGAAAACTTTTCTATTCCGTCAGGTCTATGCAGGCAATTAAGAATATATCTTTCCACAATAGTTGAGGTCTGGTTTTAATATTTAGTATACAGTTTTTACTGTATGTTTTTATGTACTGTTGTAAACCACTTTGATATTTTTTCCTATGAAATAGAGGAATATACACATTTTTACAAATAAATAACTAACCTGAGGAACAATGTGCTGCTAAAATGGAAGTTCCCCCTCTTTTGTTTTAGCAAGAGTTTCCATGCTAAACCATTCCTGAATCCAAAAGTGGGGATTCGTTGTTGTTGTTGTTGCTGCTGCTGCTTTAATTATAAATGTATTTTTGTTGATTCAGGAAGGGTTTTGAATGGAATCCTTCCAAACTGAGCAGGATTTCAGCCGATGAGCAGGGAGTTAAATCCTGTCCCTTTGTCTCCATGCCCCTGTTCCCTCCTGGGAACAGGCACATGCAGCCACCACAGTATTGAACCCGACCCTCCTGCCTATCAGAGGGTGTCACAACAGTGGCATAGCTGATGAATGGGTCAGTGCGGTTCAGGGAAAGTTGCCCCATGGGCCACCTTGCACCCTTTGACAGGTCAGCATTGGCCTGCAGAACAGAGGTTCCCAACCCCTGCTCAAGAGCAGCAGAGAGAAAGCCTCCTCTATTGTCTCAATGACAGCCCTTCCGATATTTGCAGACTTGCAGTCACGTCTCCCTTTAACCTTCTCTAAACATACCAGGCTCTTTCAACTGTTCTGCACAGGACTTGGTTCAATATCCTGTTTTACTTTGCTCCATCAATTTGAGCTGTTTTCTCCCTGTTCCAGTAGCAGAAATGAGTCATGCTTTCTTTCTGTTGCCCAGGGGAGAAGTTGTTAAACCAGGTTAAATGGGGGGATGGATGGACATCGTGGCTCCCCATGAGTCCACAGGCTTAAATAGGTTGATGGTTCATGCATTAGAACAGTGGTGGCGAACCTATGGCACTCGTGCCAGAGAGGACACTCAGAGCCTTCTCTGTGGGCATGCGCGCCGTCACCCCAGCAGGGCCATAGCTTCCATGCTGGGGGGGGAGGGGAGGAGAGGAGGGATTGTGCACACCGTCCAAGCCCTGTGGCACCAGGGCCTGGTAAGCAAGCGAGGGGCTGAGCAGGCATTGACTTTTTTTAAAAAAAAGTTTTTCCGGTTAATTTCACATAACCAATTATTTCAACAATTGTATTTTTCCCCCATTTCCCCCCTCCCACCCCCACATACCCCCCCTACAACTTCCCTCAGTTCCTCTTTCTGATTTATTTGCATATATTGTTCTCTGCATGTTATAAAAATGTAAAAATCTCTACGTTTTCCATCCATTATGTTAACAAATAAATTGTGCATCTTTATTCAAAGCCTGCCAAGGAGTCCAACGCATTTTGTTGCTTTTTTAAGTACTTTGTAAAAGGTTCCCAATCCTCTTTAAAGTCACAGTTGTCCTTGACACGTAGTTTGTGTGTCGAGCAGGCATTGACTTTTGACTTTTGATGAGCCAGGGCCTCCCACCAGTCTGTTTTTCCTACTCGGGAGTAAGCCGTCTTGAGTTCAGCAGGGCTTAACTCCCAGGTCAGTAAGCATGTAAAGACGGCAACTTAAGAAGGGGTTGCTGGGTTTACATGTTCACTGGGCTTTCCCATGGAAGCCAACAAGAGAAATTCATTCAGATTTGAACTGTATTTATTTCCCCCCGGTGGTGATTTTTTTGAGCCAAAATGAGAGTACCCCTAAACATTTTTTAAGAAAAAAAGTACTGTGTTACACCATTAAATTATATATCAATGGAAAGATAATTTAATGAAGAAATGTAATGCAATAACTTTTATGAAGGATTATTTATTACAATAGCAGTCATAAAGAAGAAACGTGTAACACAGAGAGAAAAAATGAGATATACAGGTTAAATTGCCATGCTGGCACTTTGTGATAATTAAATGGGTTTTGGGTTGCAGTTTGGGCACTCGGTCTCTGAAAGGTTCACCATCACTGCATTAGAACAATGAAACACAGAAAAGCAAAAGCAATAAAATACACAAATACAGAGCACTAGATCTTTTTTTAAACAGCTTGGAATAAGGGTTTTTTAATAGTTTATTTAAAAACAAGTAGGGGGTCACCACTGAAAAAGTCCTGCCTCTCATGTCAACTCAGCAAACCCAACTATTTATTTATTTTTAAATCCAGCATCCATAATTTGCTAAGTAAATAAAATGAAATAAACAATTAAATGATTTTGGATTTCTTTTTTGAAGAAAAATAAAATGTGTTTTACAATTGCCCACCAAATCATCCCTAATTATTTAGCATCATCATTTCTCTCCAGAGTGCATATGGCCGTGACTGATCTCTTAAGTGTGACAAACACAAGAGTGTGAAGCAGCAGCAACAACAAAAAGTGCTAATGTTATTCTAGACGTCATCAACAGAAGTATAGTGTCCAGATGAAGGAAGGTAATAGTACCACTCTATTATGCTTTGGTCAGACCCCACCTCCAGTACTGTGTCCAGTTCTGGGCACCAGAGTTTAAGAAGGATATAGAAAACCTGGAATGTATGCAGAGGAGGGTGACCAGTAGGATCACGTGTGTGGAAACCAAGCCTTATGAGGAACAGTTGAGGGAGCTGAGTATGTTTAGAATGGAGAGGGGAAAACGTAGAGGTGATAAGAAAGCCATCTTCAAAAATCTGAAGGGGTGTCACATAGAAAATGGAGCAAGCTTGTTTTCTGGTGCTCTGGAGACCCAAACCAATGGATTCAATTTACCGCTGCAGCAACAAGAACAACAACAGCAATTTATTTGTACCCTGTCCATCTGACTGGGTTGCCCCAGCCACTCTGGGCGGCTTCCAGCATATATAAAAGCATTAAACCTTAAAAAGTTTCCCTATACAGGACTTCCTTCACATGTTAAGAGCAGTTCTACAGTGGAACAGACTAGCTTGGAAGGTGGTGGACTCTCCTCCATTGTAGGGATTTAAATAGAGTTTGGATGGCCATCTGTCAAGGATTATTTAGCTGTGATGCCTGCATTGCAGGAGGTTGGACTAGATGACCCTTGGGATCCCTTCCAGCTGTACAATTCTATGACACTTTGTAATAAAAGAGCCCCTTTAAAGTAGGCATAAACCTGGATGGATTCAGGCAGAGAGAGCTTCCCCGCTCTAAGTACAATATCGGCGGTTGCTGATAGCTTGTTGATGAGTTCTCTGTTAGCTCAAATGGAATAAACCATTTGAGAAATCTCTCCACTAGGCTGAGCTTCATTTGTCCTGTCAATCTGGTGTTCACCTCTTCACACTTGCATTTAGCACCATTGATTTATCAGAGAGCAAGAATATTAAGAAGCCAAACATCTATTCCCAGTTATAGCTTCATCTTCCCAGAACTTTTGGGGACAAAGCGGAACTGTTCTTCTCCACCAGACAGTGGAGACCTGTAGAAAGCAGGTGACCTACTCCTATTAAATGCTGCCATAAAAGAGGGGGGAAATATTGCAATATGGATCATGGAAGCTATAGGAACTGCAGGCAGTTTCTAAATTTGTACAGATGGCATGGTTTTTGAAACAATAATAACAATTCCAAACAAGACACAATTGCAAAATATAGAGCATCCAGCTAACTTGGGTCAAAGTCCAAAGAAACTTCACAATCAAGATGTTCACAGAGAATTTAATATTTCTTCATAGTAAAGGGAAATGGAAACACCAACTTATTTAATATTCTAAGATGTACACTTTTCTGTGAACACCTTGACTCAGGTACACTGGAGTCCCAGCACCAGCTGACATATGACACCATTCAGGAGTCTGTGAGGAGCTGCAGTGAGAAGGGAGGAGGAAAGAAACCCATGGTCCACGAGCAGAACTCTGTAGTGCTGAAGATCCAAGACATTGATTTTGGCTGTGCTCCTTTTACACAAACATAACCTTCTCTTCTGGCCCACAGCGGTCAGAACCTGCAATTCTATTCCCACCTCCAAATCTTGCCCTTTTCTGTTTTCCACAAAATTTTGCGCAGGCCAATCTGGTAGACCAATAGTTGCCCATATCTGTGGTGTGTGAATGCAGTGGAAATAATTCAAACTGGAAGCCAGTGTTTGGGTGAAATCAGGACACAACTTTGTTGGTTGAAAAGAAGGCAGGCTGGGTTGACATGGCAATTGGGTGATGACTGATTCTTTCTCCCATTCAGGCCTTGCCAATTCCATGGCCCTTTGCTTGGGGTTATGAAGTGCCCAATCTCCACCCTATCACCACCATGGGAATTGTTCAGTGTTGAACCCTGGCATGGTGCAAGCAGTGTGTTCAGGGTCTCAATGGGCAACTGGGGATAGAGATTCCAGCAATGCAGGGGCCCTACCCAAGCTTAGGGGGTGCCTTGAGCCAATCTCTCCCCCCCCCAGACCCCTAAGGGGAGGCCCTTTCCCAAGCTTTCATAGAGAGAAAGGTGACAGTCTCTCAAAATGAGGGTCAGTTCAGAGTGGGAGGGAAAAAATCTAACCAGTGACGTCAGGCACTTCTGGGCACCATTGCAAAGGCCAGTGACAGAGAGAAAAGTGGACATAGCAATTGATGCAAATTTCACCATTGCACAGTAGCCTAGTTTCCACATACAATCACATCCCCTCTCTGTCCTCCATCCAGACAAGTAAGATGCATTGTCAGAGTTCAAAGAGACATTCAAGCCA